ACATTGTGAAACGGAGGAAGTATAAAACTAAGGATATTTTGATTAATTAATCTATCAAAACTATAGATTTAACGACGTCTATCACAAAACTACACATATATCGCCACTTATTCAACATTTCACGAAGTCTTTTAACTTTAAAGAAAAGAGTAGTGCTATGGATATTAATTCTAAAATATGTAATTTTATTACTAAATCTGTAGTTTTGTAATACAATATATTAAATCTAAATCTATAGTTTAACGATAAATTTAGTACTATATTTGTAATTTGTGATACATTTTTTTTGTTTTCTCTTAGAATTGCTGGGAATGTTTGAACAAAGTCCTCAAAAAAGTGCTTTTTTTTGTCATAGTGATAAGCTAGTGATCTAGCTATATAGTAGTACGTAGTATGCTTATTTCAGGGAATTCAATTTTCAAAATGTGAAACTTATAATTAGCTACTTAAAAAAAGTACGCTCTGCATGCAAGTTTCTTCGTTGTTAATCTCATACTTTGACCAGCTAACACGACTACAAGGATCATCATAATTTAATTATGGTGCCCACCTATGACTATAATTAATTTCTACCCAAACAAACCGTGTAATACATATATGATATACATACACCCAAAAGTACAGTACTGCTAGTATTTTGTTCATCAAATAATGTTGGGGGACAAAACAGAACTAATACACTATTCCAATGAGGTTTGTCAAACTGGAATTGATTAACCACCACAAACGAGAAAAAAAAGAGAGAAAAAGGAAAAAAAAAAGGCTTTGGTAACATTCAAGGGGACCACGGAGAGGTTGATTCCCCATCATCTTCTCGCCAGTGCTGCTCAGGGTAGGGGACCCCACCCCCTCTATTCCCCACTGTATGAATTATTTAGGAGGTGTCCATGACTCCAGTACAATATATATAAAAACATCTTGAAAATAGGAGTATTATTCGGCATTAATTTGAAAAATTAGGGCCCTATAATAATCAAAGGGATAAAAACAAGCAGATCCTCCCATCCCAAAAGAACTCGGTTTTATTCTTGGGGGAAATCTTGTGTGTTTACCGAGTAGTAATCCCTGTGGGGACTGTGTAGCAGCTTTTCTTAATTCGAGATAGGCCATTGGTGTGTGTGAGGAAGAGGGTGCTAGTGCTACGGGTACCTGGGTGTTTGTCCTCAGCCATTCTCGATGCTACGATTTTCCAAGCAAGGGGGGCCAGCCATTGGGAGTTTGGGACAGCTTAATTCAACAGGTTTAAGATTAAACATACTGCAAGTGTTTTGGGCCTGAGATTCATGCATGTACTGTCTCTTGTGCTTTTGTGTAGTTTTTGCAAAGAAGCCCTTGCCTAAATAGGTTATTACAGTTTTATTATAGTAGTATAAAACACAACATAAGTCTCAATCCATATAAACCTTAGTGTGGATTTGGACAAAGTATGGTGGTGTTTGAATCTTCTGAAGATGAAGATAAAGATTAAGTGTTTCACGCAAAACGATGTGGTAATAATGTGTGATTAATTGAGTTTTAATTATTGCAAACTTGAAAAATGGATTAATCTGATATTTTAGAACAACTTTCATATAGAAAGTTTTCGCATGAAACACACCGTTTAGCAATTTGAAAAACATGCCACGAATATCCAAAACTTAATCCACTTTTTTAAGTGGAAACGAATGGAGCCTATGTGGTGTAGTTTCATGTTCAATTTATAGATTGTTCGGAACGAAGAAGGTACAAATTCTTTTATCAAACGCATCGATTCTTAGTTAACGATTGTATATAGTACTTGTCGACTTGACAACATTAGTAGTTCCTCTTATGTGCACGTACAATGATTGTTGGGGAAGTACATATATCAATTGATATATTTAATTTGAATGTGGTCTAATCAATGATTAAAGACATTAACAGTAAAAAATATAGAGTAAAATATATATGCTCTTCTAAAATGAAAATGAATGTGTCATCAATGTCCTCAACATGCATGGAGAATTTGCCTAAAACAAATTCTTCATCAATTATATAATTACCTCGCAATCAAAATCAATGGATGTTGAAATGATTCAAATAGGATTTACTTTACATTATTAGCTTTAAGTCGGTCAGATTTCTACCTTACACTCAACTCGTTGTTCATGCTCTGGTAAGATTGTCCTTCGTTTCTTATGTTTCCTTGTTTTCTTCAACCTATACAGTTAGGACTTAAGTTCACCTATCGCATTAGGGTTCTAATGAGTCCTTGGGTTAGAGGAAATCAAAGCATGGTCACGACCATGAGATCAGGTTTTCCCTTGCCATTTAAGGGAGGGGTTACCTATGCAATTACCATAGTAACCATGTTATTACTGCAAAAAACCAAGTGGATATCAACAAAACTAAGGGATTCTCAAAACCGAGAAGGTTATCACGTAGGGTGAAATCATGTATGACATATACAAGCATTTGGTCCTTTAGGAGAAAAATAAAATGGTCCTTAACATCACAAGAGCCTATATGCATAGCTTTTGTGCCTAAATGTTGTATGATAGGACATGCCAAATGACCCATAAGGAAATGTTGTATGATAGCACATGTCAAATGATCTATAAGGTTTGCAAACTGCAACAGACGATAACTTGATTTGTTGTTACACTAGAAGACATGGTTGATAAAGAAACTGATATATGGAAGCAGGAGACCAACATTGCACGTCTTCATGACAATAGTTGAGTAGTGTGATATGTTGCACGGTCTGCAATGATGTAGATAGAAGTGATGCAAGTCATCGAGTCATGCACTAAGATATACATTTGACGAGGATGCATATGGAGATGACGCCAACCATCGAGTGACGCAATATGATAAACATTCAATGAGATATAGATGGGAAGGATGTTGGTAGTTGAGTGACGCACAAAGATGCACATCAGACAAGGATACATATGGAAATGATGACTCAAAAGGTTTGTAATAGAGGATAGCTTTCTTTTGGAAAAAAAAATCTAACCATGGGTGTTAGGGGGTGTTACAATGGTTCTAGTTGTTGAGTGACGCATTGTTGAAGTGGAAGACATGGTTGATATGAAAACTAATATATGTAACCGTGTAAGCACGCAAACAACATTACATGACTTCATACAAATAGTTGAGTAACACTGTAATGTTACACGGTTAGCGAGGATGCAAACATAAGTGATGCAAGTCATCGAGTAAGATATACATTTGACACAAAAACATATGGAAACAATTAACAACTAAGTGATGCACTAGGATACACATTGAATGAAGACATAGATAGAAATGATGTTGGTCATTGAGTGACGGACAAGGATGCACATCGGACAAGGATACAGATAGAAAGGATGCCAACTGTTGAGTTGCATACTGGGATACACATTCGACAAAGATATAGATGAAAATTAACTGAGTGATACACTAGGGTATATAATTGATGAGAATACAGGTGGAAGACGCGCCAGCTATTGAGTGAAGCACTGTCATACAAATTCAACGGGAGATACAGATGGAAGGAACACCAACTATTGAGTAACACACTAGGATACACATCTGACGGCTATGCAGTTGGTAGGGATGCTAGCTATTAAGTGACGCACTATGATACACATTCAACGAGGATAGAGACGGAAGGGACACTAGTTATTGAATGATGCACTAGGATACACATTCAACAAGGATACATATGGAAGCTAGGACGCTAGCTATCGAATGATGCACTAGGATACATTTAACGGGAGATACCGATGGAAGGAACGGTAGCTATTGAGTGACGCACTAGGATACACATTCTACGAGGATACAGATGGAAGGTACACCAGCTATCGAGTGATGAACTAGGATACACACTCCGCGGGGGATATAGATGGAATGGATGCCAGCTATTGAGTGATGCATTAGGATACGTGTTCGGCGGGAGATATAGATGGAAGGGACGCCAACTATTGAGTGGTGTATTAGGATACACATTCAATGAGGATACAGATGGAAGAGATACCAACTATTAAGTGACGTATTAGGATACACATTCAACGAGGTTACAGATGGAAGAGATGCCAGCTATTGATTGCCATATTAGGATGCACATTCAACGAGGATACAAGTAAGGATGCTAGCTATTGAGTAACGCACTAGAATACACATTCAACGGGAGAAACAGATGGAAGGGACATTAACTTTTGAGTGACGTACTAAGATACACATTTGACGAGGATACAAATAGAAAGCACACCAACTACTAAGTGACGCGCTAGGACAACACGTTCGGCGTGAGATACAGATGGAAGGGACGCCATCCATTGAGTGACGCATTAGGATATGAATTCGGCTGAAGATACAGATGGAAGGGATGCCGTCCATTGAGTGTCGCATTAGGATATGTATTTGGCTGGAGATACAGATGGAATGGACTCCAGCTATGGAGTGACGCATTAAGATACACATTCAAGGAGGATACAGATGGAAGGCACGCCAGCTATTGAGTGACACAATAGGATACACATTCAACGAGGATACATATAGGGATGCCAGCTATTAAGTGACACACTAGGATACACATTTAACGCGAATAAAAATAAAATAGATATAAATTGATGAGTGACTACCAGGATATACATTCAACAAGGATACAAATCAATTCCAAAACAACCGTGCTCATAGAAAAAAAAAGACTTGACTGAAAGTAAATAGGACCTAGAAGCAATTTGTGACCTAGCAAGGGTATAACTGCAATCCTTGCAAGGGGCGTGGAACCTACAGCCTTGTTTTGTTTTTGTGTACGTCGGTAAAGAAAGGAAAAAAAAAACCCCGAGAGGTCTACAGGCAATAAACTGTAGTGGCATTTCTGAAATATACCCGTACCAACAGGGGCAAAGCTCTATAAATATATCTCTCTCTCCCTTCAACAAGACAACAAAGAAAGATGCAAGAGAGAGATCAGAGAAAAAGAAACAGAGTTGGTGTGGGATACGACAGGTCCCAGAAAGAAAAAAAAACCCCCTCATTTTCTCTTTTATTTCTACCCTTCCTCTCCTATCCCCTCTCTCTCTAAAAGCAAAACACACTGCTCACTCTCTCTCCCAGGTCTCTCTCTCTTGAGTTGCTGTTAAATGGTACAGGGCCTCCTTGCCTTTGCCTTGGTGGAGAACCAGATGCCTTTGATGTGTGAGTGGTTGGTGTTTCCTTCTCTCCCCTTCTCCTCTTCCCCCCCCCTCTCTCTCTTCTCTCTTTTTTTTATATAATCAACTAATTTCTTGCTAATTTTTTTCCTTTGCTCCTATCTCTCTTATGGCTGTGTGGGAGTAGGAGAGAGAAAGCTGGGATGGATAGATAGAGAGGAAGAGAGGGAAGCCAACAAAATCGGCAGTAGCCTCTCCCCCATTTTTTTTCTCCCCTCTCTCTCTATTCTTCTTCTTTCTCCTCTCCAGCAACCGCTCTCCTCAGTCCTCTCCTCCCCACCAAATCAAGCTGCTCTTCGCCGCGGAGGTCGTCGGATTCCGGGCCCTCTCACCGCGTGGATCTGCCGGCGGGGAGGGAGATGGGGGCTCTTGCGCCGCGGCGGCGCGGGTCGGGGATCGAAAGGTGAGGACTTCTTTTTTTTTTTCCTTTTTCTGGTGTTCTTGGTGCGTTTCTTTCTTGCTGTGATTTCTTGGTGGTTCTTGCTGGGATTCTCCTTCTCTCTGCTTCGGGGTGGGGGATTTCTTGTGGGGAGAACGGCCATGGCGTAGATCTTCTCGTGCTGGTTGTGCTGGATGGATGGATCTTGGCTGTTTTTTTTTCTTCTTCTTCTTCCTCTTGATGAGTAGAGGGGGGTATGTTGGCCTTGGCTACATGCACAAAAAAAAAGAGGCTTTGATTTCGTGCCATATGCTTTTGTTCAGATTTGGTGCAGGTTATGCTGCCCTGTCATCCACTCTTGGGTGCCTCACCCATGGCTGCTGCTGCTGCTGCTTCTTCCAGGTCCAGGGCCAAAGAAATCCCCCTCCATTAGACCAGATTAAGCAGGAGAAAAAAAATCATCTCTTTTCTTGGTTTCCCCATCGTGTTTCTGGGTGATTAAGCCCCCCGTCTTTACGTTCTTCCTTCTTTTGCTATTTATTTCCCCATCAAGAAAGCACTACCATACAAGCTACTAGGTGCTTAGCAACTGTTCATGCCTGCCTAGTTCTTTCTTGCTTGCTGTTTCTTTTTTTTTCTTTTTTTTTGCGCAAATCGTCGCCATAGCCGCGTGATCTGCATAAGCTCCCACTAATAATCCTCCTCTCGATTCGGTCCCTCGTCGCCTTTGCCTGTCGTGGTCATGATATTTCATGTGCTTTGGACTAACCTGACAGCAACCGCTAGCTCTTGCTCCTCCTATCCCTCTTCCTCTTCCTTCCAATCTCTCTTGCGCAGCTTCTGTTCTACATGAAATGACACCACGTGATCCTCTCGGGGGGAGCTCGCCCGATGGGGTTCGTGGCCGTGACATGAAATAATATGGGTCTTGGTTTGTGTCTGCAGGTGGTGGATGAGCTGCTGAGCTAGGAAGCAAAAGCTTTCTTGCTTTCACGAGGCGTACTCAACCATCTTGTTATGCTGGAGGGCAAGGATAAGAGCAGGCCCAATTGCTTCAGAGCTCTTGGGTTCTTGGTGCGGACTGTAGCAGCAGCAGAAGCAGTAGATCTGGAGGGGTCAGCGAAGGCGTTCATCAGATGTTATCCAGTGAGGAGCCTTCAGGCCCCTCTTGCTCTTCTATCCAGGGTGTGAGCGCTGTTCCGGCGACGTCCCCCGGCGAGTCGCCGGCGAGCCAGGATCCCACAGATCTGGTGCAACCGTGCGCCAAATTCTCTATAAGGTGAGAAAGAGGAACCTTAATTTGATTGATATGATTTAGTCGCTTGGGGGATAAGGATTAGCCTCGGGTGCTTAAGTTCTTGATTGTGGATTAATTATTGGATGCGGCTTTGAGGGATCGGATTGGGTGTGTGTGTGACTTGTTGCTTTCAGAGGTTAATCCGTGTTATTTTGGGGGAGATTAATTAGTTTAGTTTTTTTTTGTTGATTAATGAAAAGGTGTCCCTTTTCACCCCAAGAATCTGAAAATAAAAGGGTGTCTCTCGTGCCTTCGTCTGATGAATCTTTGTCCACTGTGTGTTAATGGTTTTCTTATTTCCATACTTAGTGGTCTTCTGTAATTAACAGACGGTTTAGAGGTTTTCAGTTTTGATATGACAGCATCTTCAGTAGGTCCATGAAGATGTTTTTATCTATTTTCTTTTCAACAACATTATGGAGGGGTTCTCAGTTTAATACAGTCTTGCGTACTATGCAAATTAATGGTTTTCTTCAGCTATCTACTACATATCTATGAGCATGTGCTAATGGAGATCCATGTCTTTTCTCCAGAGATTATGTTTTTGCTTCAAGGAGCAAAGGCATCAAGAGAAGCTGGCCTTTCCATCCACGGTCGCTGCAGCTTTGCCTGAAGCGTGGTGTGAAGGATCTGCTACCTCCATTTGAACCACCTGATTTGATTCGATCCCGGTCTTTGAGTACTACCATAAACGTTGAGCAATCTGCTGCAAGTTCAGAAGCCAATGCTCCGGTTGGTCTGGTGAAGACTAGAGATGATGGTTCGTCTATTGTGAATGCAAGCAATATCAACTTCCAGTCATGCCAACCAGTAGCTGAGTCACTTGGTCCTTCACAGTACACCTCACCAGAGGATGGGAAATCTGCTGTTGACCAAGGGGAGAATACAAATGGATTGGACCATACTGATGAGGTTATGCCAGTAGATCTGCAAGTCAATAGTTGCACCAAAGCAATTCGGCAAACTGAGGTTGCTGTACCCTCTTGGCGATCGAAAAATCTTGACTCATCACGAGAGCCATCAGAAAAGAAGTGTAAATTGGTAGTCAAAGTAGGATCCTTGACGCGGACAGAAGAGGTGGCATCTAATTCTAGCACGGTTTCAGACCCGATGGCCTCAAAAACCTGTCCTGTTTGCAAAGTGTTTGCTTCTACTTCAAACACAACCTTGAATGCCCATATGGACCAGTGCCTTTCTGTTGAATCTAATACTGAGCCAGTGGAAAAAGTTATCTTGAAACCGAAAGTTAAGCCAAGGAAGAAGCGACTGATGGTGGACATTTACAAGACTGCCCGTCTGTTCACTCTTGAGGATCTTGATCAGAGGAATGGCACTAACTGGGCTATCGAATTGGCTACACCCACCACGAACAAGGAGGTTTGCACTGAGAACCGTAGCCCAGAAGTGGTGCCGTTTGACCCAAGAGACGACGAAAGAGAAGGCGATGTCTATGTTGATTCTAATGGGATAAAAATTCGGATTTTGTCCAAGTCTAGTGATGCGTCTTTGGTGTTGAGGGATGAACATAATTCAAGGAAAGTTGCCAAGAACGAGACTGGAAAAAGTATGTTGATGAGCAAGACGTGCTTGAAATCCAAAATATGCAAGAATAAGAGGCTCAAGTTTCCAGGGAAGAAGCACAGCAAAACTAACCGATTGAATACCCAGGTATGCAGTGTCGTTAAGCTTATTTTTACTGGTTGTTCACTGAAACTTTAGCACTCTGTTTATTGCCTGACATGGCCTGGTCCACTGAGCATTATTCCATGGGTTGATGTGGCTGTTGTTTTAACTGAGCTTTCTACTTCTCTGTCACATTTTAAAAGTCCCCACGTTATTGTAAAATATGTATAAGAAACATATTAAGACAAAGGTTTATCTTAATGTGATGCTGTTTGGTCACAAATGTGGGTGTGAGGTTATGCTACTGGCTGGCTTAATTGTAGACCATGATGTTTACTTGCTGCATACAAGAATACAGTGTATTCAAATTGTTGATAGAAAAGCTTGATTGCAGTAACAGCTGCTTGTGGTACTCATCTAGGTCCTCAAGGCAATGCTATATGAAGATTCAATACATGTTAGAATCTGAGTCATATGAATCTGTCCTCAAGTTAATATTACATTATTATGCTTAATGACAATTTTCAATATGGCATGTTATTTGGTAGATGTTAAAATGTTACTGAATTTTAAGGTCCATTTTGTTCGTCTATTGCATATGATAATAGTTTGTTATCCAACCATTTTCATATAATTGCAAATTTATGTTGTGCTAATGGTTTTTATTCTTGCATGTGATTTTATACATACAGGTTCGAACACATACAGATGGAGATATGCATGAGCACACCTCTGAGGACGAAGAGGAGTCCACTATGCATGTGCAGAAACCTACTGAAAGCACAAGTTATGGTGGCTCCGAAACTATAAGGCAATGGGTGGGCTCCAAACGCTCAGGTCTCTCTAAGAATTGTGCCCGAGAGGTTACTGATAAAGCATCCAAGAGTATAACGCCTGGAACCAAGAAGTTGGCTAGGAGCAGCATTCGTGGTTTTGATGATTCTCAAATATCAGATAGTCCTCCTGAGGCATTTTCTTCGCAACCGCCGGAAGAGATGACGATCACTTCAGAAGCTAATGATGATGACGAGAGGAATGGTACTTCGAGATTGCTCAGATCGATTCCTAGATGGTCTTTAAAAACTACTCCATCCAGCAATGTCATACCAAAAGTACCTAGGTCTGCTGCTGCTCTAGCCAAAAGGAAAATAAAGGAGATCGGAAGGAGAGAGTCCTATAGGTCTGATAACTATGATACAGTGAGGAATTCCACCTCGATCAGAAACTCTGTACGTCGGGGTCCTTCCTCCTCTGTTGCTGGGCTGAGTGATGGCTCAAATAGGGTTGCATCTACCAAGAAGTTCCGGAAGAACCGATCTCTGTTGAGGACTGGTAGGCGTGAATTCTCACCTTCTAACAGTGGGCTAGTTCATGGTTTTGGTCAAGACCATGGATCTAATCCCAATCATACAAACAAGAGGTTCAGGGTTAGTAACAAGGAAACCTCCAAGAAGCTTAAGCACACTCAAGAAGATACTGCAGATAATGACTTCTCTTATGAAAGTGATGTACCAGCATTAGGACAAGGGGATGATCAATACGATGCGGCTCAACAAGCAGGAATTTCACAGATGTATTATGAAGGTGAAGAGCCTGAAACTGAAATGCAATGTGCATCACCCTCCAGAAGTGATCCTGTAGACTGCAGCAATGATATGAGCAGCGATTCTTTGAGTCCGGAAAATAATGAGACGGCAGATGATGTTTTGGTGGAAGGCTATAGTGTAGCAATTGTGGATCCATGCTCTAATGAGAAATCTGCATATCATGCTCATATACCCAACGACGTTGCCAATAATGAGGTGGAAGAATGGCAAATTGATCCGTCTTCAACTAAGGAATCTAGTGCCTGCTTGACCAATAATAGGGACATGGGTCTTGGAGCTCCTCAGGATAACTCATCGATTACATCAAACAGAGAAGATTCTAACCTTGATCACGGTTTGGTTTTTGATCGTGGCTCATCCGGCTCTCCTGTTTCAACTGCCTCCACACTGTCTCCTTCAACTTCTTTGAGGGACTCTAGGACTAACAGGTCTGAGCCAGGTCCATCCACTGTTAGTCTTCCAACTGTTGAGGAACGGGTTTCTGGGAGCTCGAATCAAGAAACCAAGTCGACACCTCTTGCCAGAGAAGGTGAACAGTTGCCTGAAAAGTCCTGTTGTTGCAATTGTCGGGAGAGCATTTCCAGGGATTCTCAGGTGCACGATCAAAGTGCGATGGCTAGACCAGTGCCAGCTTTTACTGGAAGGCCGGTTCCACAGTTGAACATAGGTTTGCGTGCGTCTTCATCGTTCAGCACATATCAAAGAACCAGCACAAAGGCAAATCCTTGCTTAGATTCACATGATCAGACATTAGCTGGTAAGGTTTCAGCTGAGCCTACCATGACCCACCCATCTTATACGACAGATTGTATGAGCCCATCAATACAAACTCAGCTTCCTTCACCATCAAATCCTATTTTGAGATTGATGGGCAAGAACTTGATGGTGATGAACAGTGAGGAGAGTGGACATCCTCAGGCACCCAGTTCAGATTACATCATGAGAGGAAATTACATGGCACCTGGTTGTTTTATGCCTCAAAACTACCAACATATTGGTGATCCTGCATTTATGAACACAACACCGTCAACAGCCAATCATCAAATTCCTCTGTCAAGTGTACAAGCTGGCAACTTTTCTGCTCCTACGTTGCATAATGGTTCCATGGTGCAATCTGATTATCATTCTCCACAAAAGCCATACAGGAACCTCCTTCCAGTCATGCATCATCCATCCTACATGATGAAAGAAGTAATCATGATTGATGACTCTCCTGAGCACAGAAGCGATCCACAAATCAGTATGCTTCTTCCTTCTGCACCTTCTCCAGCTACAATCTCGGTCCCGAACACTGTGGCATCAAGGCCATTTTACTGCCTTCCATCCCAAAACCAGCTTTTACCAAGGGAGAGTGCTGTTGGACCCCTGCCTGTATTCACAAACATTAACCCAATTGTTGGTGTTAGCTCATCAAGTCAAGGAAACAACGCAGAAGTAGCACATCCTTACATGTCAAATCCATTCTATGTGCAATCTCCGGCTGGTTACATAAACCCATCGGTCTACTATTCGCAGAATTTACGGTGATGATTCCTCAGTAACTCAAATGAAGAAGAGAACTGCAATTGGTCATCAATGCCAACGTGGGAATAATGAGAGCTTTGTGATGAGTCTAAAATTCTGAGAGTAGTGAACCTTCATAAGATGCCTGACTTTTTCATGAGGTTTTTTCACATAGGTTGCCTCTTTAGTTTTTCGTTTCAGGTAAACTTGTTTGCCTTCAAAGTACTTCAATTACATCCTGCAAAGTTCCAGTAAGTTATAGTATGGCATTGTCCAATAGTGCTCAAGGATATACCTCACTATTTATCGAAGAAACTAATAGCTTACATTGCAGCAAAAGTTTTTCCTTTTCCCTACTGTTTCCCCCTCTGCTCTTTGGATTGTTTCTCGTCAGTTTGTGATAGTTGATGCAACAGCAGTAAAGATGTTGCCAAGATATAAAGTAGTGAACTTTGCATATGCAATGCATCGCACTGTGATTTGCATAGTCGCAGATGAACTGACATGTGTACTGTTGCTTGGCTGACGAACCAAATTAAGTAGCTAGTTTCTGGATGTCAAACTGTGGGGGAAATCAAATAGGAAAAGAAAAAAAAATGGTATGGTAATAGCCTTGAGATTTTTGGGTTTCAGAACAATATTTGGTAGACCTGTGTTCAAGCTTTCAATATTTGACTAAAAGGGCACATATGGATGATCTTTTGATTTGTTTAGTTTGTATTTTAGAGTTGTGAAAGAAAGTTCAGGTTAATCTTGCTTTATCAATATCAGTTGGCTGCATATGCTGGAATTCCCAATAGAATTTTAGCACTTGTAACAGTTGGTTTAGGTCACATGAAGAACAAGTAATCACATGTGATACTAACAACATTTCCTCAAATTAAGTAGATAAAGTACCCCCCACGAAACGGCCGGCTTAGATTTCTGTGCAACATATGGTTCTCAAAATTACTAATACTTTGCAAAATAAATAAATAAAGTTTATGTGTCTTGTATTGATGTCATATAAGTCCTTGAATAGATATCTACTTCATTTACTGTGGTAAATTGAAATTGAGTGATGTATCCCTAGTGTTTTGCATTACCAAAATGAAAGGCCAATCTTATTGCCGGTGATTTTTCTCTATTCCTTATTGTTTGCATGGTAATTTAGGACAGTGCTTGATGACATATTAGCACTACTGCAAACAAACCTAGAGCTTCTTTTTTCTGTGATTATTCTGAGTCATCTTGTCACTTTTTTCGCTTCTGCAAATAAACCTCTGCGTGTCTTGGCTCCTTTGTGCATAGGAATGGAACGATATTTGCTCGCAGGAGTATTATCTGATCTTAGAAACCTGCACGGACAAACAATCTCGTTTGAAATTCCAGGTTTCCGTCGCGTCATTTCAGGGGGGTTAATATTCTGAGGAATTCATTACAAGATTAGGCAAACTAAACCTTGTTAGGGTGTGGCCTCTAGTTCGGTCTCAGAACTGACGGAATTCCAGAGGCTCTGTCTGGACACTTTTATTCTGTTTCTTCAGAATCTCCAAAACTGAAAAAATCATCTTCCAGTTTCTCTCTCTCGTTTGTTTGAAATCCGATCAAAACTTGGAGCTCCACAGGTGTCATAATTTCTGGATCTCCAAGTGAAACAGTAGTAATAGACTACAGTAAGCTGGAGTAGCTGGTGGTAAAGATAACAGAGTTTTTTTTTTCAGTGTGTGGTCGCCACCAGAAAAGGGCAAAGGAAAGGCACTGCCACTGCCCCTGCTCACCTTGCAGCTTTCGCCCCTGCACAGCAACACCCTTGCCTTGCCTCACAGTAGCTCAACTAACACCAATCAATGGCACCATCAGAATCACACTGTTTTAATCCTCTCCACCTTTTTTATTTCACACATAACACAATCACGCTGTTTTAGTCCTCTCCACCTTTATTTCACACAGGACACGGCCATGATCCCGGCTAAAACCAGTTTTGTTTGCCGAATTTTGGGTGTGGAAACAGTATAATAATTCTGGAAAAAAGAAGAAAAAAAATCCCCTAAAATCCGATGGAAGAAACCGAGTTTATAACAATTATACGAGAGCATGAATCGAATACCATAAAGTTAAAAACATTTCGGATAAATCAAACCGTTCAACAGTTTAAAAAACGTGTTCACGGTAAATCCATGATTGAATCGTGCCCGTAAGAGCAGGTACAATAATAGACTATTAGCCAGCTATAAACATATTTTAATGAGATAAAATATGAGAGAGAAGAGCAACGGGCTACAGTTCTGTAGCCAGCTGCAACACGGACTTCGAGACGCAGTGTGTATATGATATGTATAACTATATATTAATAATATAGTAAGCAACTATTGTATGAATTGGTTATAGATAAATTAGAGCTAATAGTGAGATATACTATTAAATTTGCTCTAATAATCCATACTCCGTAAGACGAAAACCAAAGTGGGCAACCCCCATTAACCACGTCTCTAACTACAATTTCGTGCCCAATAAATAGTGAGTACTACTACTCCATTAGACCCCGTCTCACACTGCCGCTGAATCTGATTATAGCGTCCCCCCCTATCCGTTCACTGTCAGGGGCTCTGGTCCCGGACAGCAACGGCCACCACCACCACCACCACCACCTCGCCGAGAAAACAGGATCCCAGACAGGGAGAGATGCTGGTCGATCGTGTGGTAGCATCTCCTCTCGTCTCCTCTCCCTCGGCGACGCGAACGCGAACGCCGAACGCGACGGCGGAGACGAACGGTGCCGTGCACGTAAACAGCGGCGAGCGAGGCCCGTAAGATAACAACGGCGCAATGATTCGTTCGGGGGCGTGTCCACTGGCCACCACCACCACCCGTCCTCACATGGCGCCGTTGCTGTTGCGCCGTACGGTTTTGTGTCTCTCTCTTTTTTGGTTTTTGTTTTTTTGGTGGCTCCGATGAATGGATGAATAATGAATGGTTTTGCACTCTAGATGGATCTCTGTCAGTGGCCTGTGCCGGATGGGGATTTAGAGGGAGGGAGGGAGAGGGAGTAGCCTCCTAGATCAAAATTATTTCATTGAGGTAGAGATCAGTGCTATGGGTTAGAGCATCTTCAACAAGATCATGATCCTCTGCAGTTGATTGGACCGCGTCTTTGCCACTGATAATCGGGTCCACATGTCAGTGATAAAAGCACGGTGCAGTGATGGTAGAGAATCTCAGTCGCTCAAACGAACTATCTAAATTAAACTATAACCTGCTATCCAATTGATTTGGTAAACCAAACTTATTGTTTACTCCAACGGTCTCTCCATGTGTACTCTTCATTCTAAGCCTATGACATTAGGACTCATATGTCATCCTCTAGTCCTCTACTTCCCTCTTCTTCTTCCTACTCTTTCCCCCCCTCTCTTCCTCTTCTCCTGACCCTTCAACGACGGTGGTGTAGACGACGGTGGCGGTAGCTGGCGACAGTGCAGATGATGGCAGGGGCGGCTGGCGACGACGACCTTGACTAGACACCGGCCGAATCCGCGTGGGGACGGAAGTCACCCCCGCCCCCCTTCCCCGAATCCACGCCACGTCAACCGAATCCGGTAGGGTAGAGGAGGCAGTGGTTGTTGCTCGAGGTGAGGGGGCAAGTGGATGGGAAGCCGCCAACGGCGGTGCAGTTTCGTGGGACAAATCCACGACGACGTCAGCTTGGCTCCAACAACAGGTGAAGGCTAGCGCCAGACAACGATGGCAGCAACTGCAGCGGATGGCGGCCTAGACATCGGCCTTGACGAGGGATGGCGCTACCGGCTTGACCTTGTCGTCGTCATCGCTTGAGGTTTTGCGGATGGGGGCACTCGGAGTAGGTGGCGGCGGTGGTCGGAGCGAGTCGTCGCGGTGGCACACCAACGTCGGTGGCGGTACCCAAAGCCGATGGCGGCGGTGCCCGAAGCGAATAGTGAGAAGAAGAGAGGAGGGAGAGAGCATCCCGCGTAGGGCCTATGGTTGGCGAGGCAATTTTGACTGGCCAAGTTCGGTCATTGAGGTAGCCAGTTTGGTCATCGAGATGGCCAAGCCATTCAATTGGCAAGGTTGTTGGAGCTTGTTTTTGGTCCATAGTTGCTAAATTTTAGCTTGGAGAGTGGGATAGCTATTATGTTGAAGATACTCTTAGTTTGGTTTGCTATCAGTATTTGACATTGATAACATTTTAGCAATGTATGTGTTGTTGGCAGGGTTTAGTAGCAAACCAAACAGTGCCAGAATACTATTTAAAATTATTATGAAAAATAGATGCACAACGGAGATACGAATTTTATGTGGAAAATCCTTACGGGAAAAAAACCATAGGCGCCGACCCAATAATAATTTATTAGGAATTGGGGGGTATACTGTTGGTCTTTATCTGTTTGAGCATGGGTTAAGAGGCATTCCGTACTCGTGGGTTAAGTGTGTTATGTGTGCGTGATGAGCATGCACGTCTTCCGTAGGTTTCCCCTGCGGTAACTGTGGGAAACATTGAGAAACAATACAAAATTTATCATTTAAATTTGGGAAACAATACCCCATACATACATACATACATACATACATACATACATACATACATACATACATACATACATACATACATACATACATACATACATACATACATACATACATACATACATACATATATATATATATATATATATATATATATATATATATATATATATATATATATATATATTTATTTATTTATTTATTTGGTTGGTTTATGTGTGTTATGTGTGCGTGATGAGCATGCACGTCTTCCGTAGGTTCCCCCTGCGGTAACTGTGGGAAACATTGAGAAACAATACAAAATTTATCATTTAAATTTGGGAAACAATACCCCATACATACATACATACATATATATATATATATATATATATATATATATATATATATATATATATTTGGTTGGTTTATGCAGTCCTACCATTACCAACTTATCGTACCATGACGATAAGCACGGTTAACTCTCCTTCCCTACAATAGGATAAAATACCTTTCAAAATGCTATACTTTGGTGAGGCAAGTTTTGATTTTAATCCAAAACGGCTCTGTACTACCAATATGGAAATGATCATTTGTCCCGATTTTTCTGTCACAAGAGATTGGCTTCAGAAGGACCATGAGAAGGTTGTAACAAACAAAAAACATTACTGTTCTTATACAACTGAAAACGATCAGCTAAAGCATCATCATCATCATTTTGAGATACAGTTAAAGCATCATAGTGTCCCACCTAGAGTAATTCAGAGACCTGTTTGGCGCCCGTACACAAGCGTATATATATATATATATATATATATATATATATATATATATATATATATACACGTGCTTCTCGATCGTGTTTACGGAGACTAGTACTAGCAAACTCTGCCGTTTGTATAAAAAGCATTGACGTGCTTTGCGTCCTAAAGGTGTGGCAAGTATCTTGATGGTGGCACACAATGTCCTGGAAAAAGACCTTAACTCGAATGGCACGCTACTGCACACAAACATTCAAGCCATCCCCTGTAGCTGGAACCTTTCTTGTGAATGGATGCAAAATTTGCTGGAAATTAGGGACACCAAAGGCTTGATAAAAAAAATTACACGGAATTTCATAAAATTTGAGGAAGGCTTCTGTCTGTGGGGTTGTCATGCGGTGACCTTTGCAGCGAAGAAAAAGAGTACACGGCTTAGATGGAGTAATATGGTTGTGTTGTAATTGATCTTGTTATCTTGTCCACTTGCAGAGTATAAGAGATGAAGTGTGTTACACGATTATCCTTTTTCTTTCAGGTAATATTTTAAATTACTTCTTTTAAAAAATTCTGAAGATACTTTAGCAAATTACTAAAAGTGATGCTATGAACACAGTGAACGGATTATAATATGACTTTGCATAAAGATGTGGCCCAACAAATCCACCAAGGCAAGTAACGTGACCAAACAAAGCCCTAAAAAGACCACGGTGGAAAACTGGAAACTAATATAACCAAGGAAGTCCATTTTGGCTCCCTCAGCTGGCTGAGTCTGATTGGACTCCCGAACCCTTAAAACCGGATATATTGACACCCTTATTTATCCAAACCAGTTCAGTTTAGCTCCCCGTTTAGGCCTTGTTCGGTTAATTCATATGAGGGAGGGATTGGAGAGGATTTATTCCACACCTTAGAAGATGTTTTATCCTACGCAGCACATTGACCCGATCTAGTATTACAATCAACAAATAACTAAAAAAGTATTGTAAGACCCACATGCCAGTAACCACTTATTCTTCCTCTTTCTTCTATTCTCGCATATCTCCCTCATCGCTCTCGACCTCTCCCCTCTCTTTCCCAGTGGTCTCCAAGGGCGGCGACCGAAGAGACCAGAGGCCCCGCCCAGTGGAAGAGGAGGCGGAGGCGGCAATGGCTCGACTAGCGAAAAGTAGCCACGTGGAGGCCTGGGAAGCGATATAGATATGGACGGGGTCGATTTCGGTGAAGATGGTTGAGTGGTGGAATACTTGAGTTCGCACTTGTTGTCATGTTGATGAACACACGAGGGAGTAAGTGCCTAGAGCGAGGACTTCAATTCCTTCACCGATGCTAAGGCGGCCGTTAGTGCTGCTGATTCGTGGTAGAGCATTAAGGCAGCTATTGGTGGATACCGGAGAGGAGAGGGCAGGGGCGGAGCTACAGTATAAGCATCGGTGTCAGGCGACACCGACGACTTTCAGCAAAACCTACAGCAAAACTGCTCATCCATATATTATAGCATCACGATCTAAGTATAGTTAGCATACTATGACACCGATAGATACATTATGACACTAACGAACCAATTTTCTGGATCCGCCACTAGGGGAGGGGGAGATGGAAGTAGGGAGAGAGGATGTGGTGAAAGAGTATGACCTGTGAGCCTATTGATTTTCTTCATTTAATTATGTCCATGTTGGCATTTTACGTGGATGCCACGTTAACAAATCTAACCGGTTAATATACCACGTAGGATAAACGGGGTTATAAGTCGTCAAAGGAGGCAATTTGATCCGGTTTTAGTACTCGAGGAATGTTATATATCCGGTTTTATGGTCGAGAAATGCGAATCAGACTCGGTTCACGGTTGGTTGAGGCAAAATGGACTTCTCCCTAAAAAGTCCTAAAAGGACCATGGCCCAATAACATCTTTCCCTAGGTGATAAACAGCTGAACCGAATATTCGCGATTATCAAGGTACCTCCCTGCAAAATTCGCAGCCAAATTCTCTCTCGATTTTGCCTGTTGGTTTCGTGCTTTCCCCTCCCCTCCCCACCCCTTCGCTTCGGTTCCTTTCTGCCCGCCACTTCACGGAAAATTCCCCGCGAAAATATTTATACGGGGGCCGCGCCCGCGGCGCGAGTCGTCGCTGCTCCCACTCATCCGCCAACCGGTTGCCCCCGAATCCCGACGAACCTTCGCTGCTCCCGGGTGCGTAATTTCTCCTCCCCCTCGCCTCCGATTTCCGACGAAATTCCGCCCCCGTTCGAGCCAAGAAAGTGCGGGTTTCTCGACGATGATGGCGGCTTCTAGGGTAGTTTCTTGGAATTTTTTTGTTTTGATGGCCTGCTTGGAAATGTTCGTGGCGGCGTGCAGTCAATTGGTCGTGGATTTGTGATTGTTCGTCAGGTTTATAAATTTGGGCGTGTTTATCGGTAGGCGATAGCAGTAGCCAAGCCCTGGACCTGAATACCTGATTCCCTGAGGCTGAAATTAAGTTCTTTCTGTGTTGTGGATTCGGGTTGTTAGGATGGCTCTGTTGGATTAAGCAGCTAGGCCTAGGGATTCCGCCCCGTCGCCTGCAAGGTTGCTGCTGCACTCTTCTTCTCCCGCTGAGGCGAATTGTGGTGAAGCAGCTCGGTTTGATGGCGTGGCTAGAGGGGAGAATTGTTCCAAACTGCAATTGAGGGAGATTAAAATTTCGAGCTTGGATAGTTGTGCTTCTGAGAAGGAGAATCTAATTGGGTACCTTCCGAAGTTACCCTTCGATGAGGAGCCTGCTGTACGCAAGTTATCTCTACCATGTGTAGCAATGCAAGAAAAGTATGTTTTGCATACATCACCAAGAAAAGGGTGTAGGCTGAGGAGGTGGAGAAGGGTGAGGAGGGATCTAAGAGACAACCCATTGGATTTGGATGTCAATTTTCTGGTGCTAGCCACGGGATACTCGCTAGGGATAGGATCGGGGATATCTGGAGTTTGTATAAATAGGAAAAGGATTAGGATGAAGGATTTCGGGGGTGTGGGGCGAATCGCGCGCAAATCGCACCCGAGGGGTCTGAGGGACAAGGAGGAGGCTTGCATTTTTGAGTCTTACTTTGTAACATCTGGTGCAGGTGGTGCTGTTAGCAACAACAGGCATCAAATAATGTCGATGAGCTATGACGGGGATCAAAGCGAGGACCGGCAAAGCGAAGAGGTTCAATCAGCATATAAAAGTCACGGTGGGGGTGTGTTAAGGGGGTATTTTAATTTGGATAGGTCTGAAGAGCAAAATGAAGAAAATGAGTGGAGTTGGATTCCTCAAGATGGTGATCCTCTAGCTGAATCAATGTCTTCGCTTCAGACGACACAAGAAGCTCTTGAGAATGGTAAATTCTTGTTTTCACGGGCATTTCATATGCACTCAGTTTTTCATGTAGTTTTGTAGAAATCGGTAGATAGCCTTTTCCCTTTGTGCTTCTGAACCTTATGAGGCTAACTGTGCTAGCTTGTCGACTTAATGCTTTATTCAGTTCTTAAAAGCTTTAGTTTGTGTTGGGGTGCTTCACTGAAAACCGCTAATTGACCTCAGATAACATCACTTCACTATATCAAGGATTCTATTAAAAAGTTGTATAATTTTTACTGAGCAGGTGACTACTGACTATTTGCACAGGTCCTGCTAATTTAAGGATGATAAGTAGTTTTGTTTAGGTATATTTGGTGATAGTTACAGCCCCCATGCTTATAATATGTGTGTCGTTTGGAGTACTGCATTTATGGCAACACTCCTTTTTGTTGTTGTTGTTGTTGCTTGAATAAAAACACAAAAGTTAATGGCTTACTTTTCTCGTGTTATTTGAAAAAGCTTTTTATGAATTTACTTGAGTGGCCCTGCAATGTTGTCTTGTCCCTGTTCCTACCTTTGTACATTGTACTACCTTTTCAGCTTGCTGCTGTTTATGCTTGTGTTAAACTATCTGTTTTAAGGGCTATGCTCTGCTTCTGTTCTTTTTCAGAGATGCAAAAACTGTCAGATCTTAGCAAGGAGTTAGGGGCTGACAACTTCAGCAGTGATAACAGAGCAAACAACGCATTCGTTTCGCCTGATGAGGACGATGTTCTTGAAACGAATCAAAAGATGAGCCATCTAGAACAGAAACTGGAAGAGGCGTCAAACACTATCAGAGAGAAGAACTCGGTATTATCACAACTTCAAGAACTCATCGACGGCATGCACATAGCAACACCGGCGGAGAGGGCCTTCGACATCGATCAGCTGGAGACGGACCTCGACCGCCAGCTCCAGGAGAAGATCGAAGCCGAGATCCAATCCCTCGTCATGCTGAAAGCGAGGCAGAGCTGGCAGGTCCGGACCGAGGACCAGCTCGCCCTCAAGGAGCACAAGCTGTCCTCCTCCGGTGGCGACAATGGCGATGGCGATTGCGACAGCGACAACGCGAGGATGATGATGATGGTGAAGCTGCGGGAGACGGAGAGCAAGATCGTCAAGCTGAAGGAGCAGGTGGAGAAGCTGGAGGTCCACGAGAGGGAGCTGTTCGGGACGACGCAGGTGCTGAGGATGCAGAGCCGGACGCTCAAGATATGCCTCTTCGGCCTCCTCCAGCTCGTCCTGCTCTTCCTCTCCCTCAAGGCGTTCTTCGCCCAGGTCTCCGACCCCTTCGATGACGTTGTGCCGACGTGATCGATTTGGTATTTCAAAGGCCTGATGATTGTGTTCTCCTAGCTTGTAAATATGGTCACTAATTATGTGTGTTTGTTAGGTCTAATTTCGATACGGTTGACTAGCTGATTGCAGGTTGTGATGTACAGCTGAATTACGAAAACTCATGTAAAAAAAATGTCAGTTTGTGCATAAACTAGCCATCAGTCCTGTCCATTATAGGCCGAGCACGAGAACAGCAGTAAAAAATTTCCTTGGCTGACGATGAAAACGGTCGAAACTGTAGCATGTCTATTCGAAAAATGACTCTTGGTCGGTCGGAAATAAATTATATTTACCAGTTTAATTATTTTAGTGGTGGTTGCAGTATTACACCGAAAGAAATTATAGACAACACGAATTCTGTACTGTTTGTAAAAAGGACTATCAAAAAAATACTGCAAATTTTTTAAGTGAAAACTTTCTCAAATGTAATTGTAGTATAGTTATAATATAATTTTACCATAACTATACTATCTAACTACAATATAACTTTGATATAAGCATTAAAAAATAGATACAACTTTTTATACCTAAATTATATAGATGTTATAATGTAGTTAGAGTGTAACTACAATGTAACTAGTGTAGCATGAAACTTGATGTAGTATCAGATGACTGAAAATTCAAAAGCTAAGGAAAAAAATGCCACAAATTTTATAGCAAATCCGCTAAAACAGTATTACTCTTGCAGAAACGAAGGAGTCGTTGTTGGAGTCGAAGAGGGCGCTTGGGGGGGGGGGGGGGGCTCCGGAACAGAGGTTGAGCACAGAGGAGGGAAGGAGGAGGGGGCGCAACCAACAGTAGCAGCTCGACTAGGCAAAGAGCCATAGGTGGTAGGGAAAGTGGAGAGGGGGTTGGAGGAGAAGAGGTGGCGGATGACCTCATGGTCGTCAACCGCTGTCGCACCCACCACAGCTGCTGTCGTGAACTACGGATGACTCCATGTGGGCCGCTCAAGCTCCTCCTTCGGCCACCTCTACCATTGCTACCCCCTCCTCGCCAACCACTGCCTCCCTGTGGACGAGCTGGCAAGCTCACCGCCCGCCACCACCGTCGGAGATAGGGAAGGGGATAGAGAGAAATGGATAGGGGATGACAAGTGGGCCCATTTTGTTTTCCCATTCCTTTTATTTTTTTTATCTCATTGACAAGTGGGCTCCACATGGGTCCCACTATTTTCATATTATTTTTTGGGCCCCACATGGAACCAACTACTTTATCCTAGATCAAAATGCCACGTAACCGCCACGTCAATATCACGTGGGGCGAAGACCTAGTCAAAGAAGCCATGTAGGTGCAACATCAGCCAAAACTGGAGACAATACCGCTGAGAGACCTCGTTTGCACAGGTTTTGTAAGTTGGGGATGCTTTGTATCTGGTTTTCGCTGTTCCGGGACGAATTTCAGACTCAAGTGACAACGAGGGACTTAAAGTGAACTTATTGGAAGAGTACACCGCAACCCCTTTTCATGCTTGGGCCGTTTCACGGTCCATTTGAAGGCAGCCTTTCCACGGGCCGAGGGCCGCGGCGCTACTCAGCTCGGTACTTGACAGCTGGCGCGTGCTGGTTGCCAGGCTACCGGGGCCGATGGATCCCAGCCTCCCAGGTCTTCCATTTGCCACGGCCCAGGTTCAGAGAGGTTTACATTTCATTTAGGCCTATTTCGGTTACGCCCGGATTTAATCCGGACCGGGAATGACAAGTATGGTAAGAAAGTTATATAGATACAATGAGAGATTGGGATTTATTCCAGACAAGAAACTAATTTACTCATGATATGGACAATAAGAGACTAGGAATCAATCCACTAGTCAAGAGGTGTGGAACTAATCCGGATGTTTTGTTGTCCCTATCATGAGTAAGGCCTCGTTTGGCTGTTTGTGTTTCGATGTGGAACAGGCCCCAAACCCGCCCTTCCGTGGAATGCAACCCACGCCTGGATCAATTCCCACATCCGGCCCAAATGTGCATTTGGCTGTTCGTGTATTGCTGTGTATTGAGGCTCGATCCATGACGACCCACGGGTGAGAGAATAATCCTCACCCGAGGCCTGGAACTCTCTCGCGTGCATGCCGTAGCTCGCGACTCCTCCTGCACCGCCGCCGCTTTCTCCAAGCCGTCCACCGCCTCCTCGCCGTCCTGCTGCGCCGCCGCCGCCTTCTCCGAACTGTCCACCACGTCCTTGCCATCCTCTTATGCCGCCGGCGCTGCTGCCTTCTCCGAGCCGTCCACCGCCTCCTCGTCGGCCACCGTCGTCTGTCGCCTCATCGCCGGCGTCGCCCCGGCAGCCTACTCGCTTGATCAAGGTTCAAAGTCCTCTCCTCCTTCTCCTCCTTCATCTCATCTCATTTTCTTTGCCCATCTTCTTTCATCCACTTGTTTTGCTGCTAGGACCTTCAAGATCCGGAAAGTACAGCCATCCTGCTAGGGTTTGACGATCTGCAAGAGAAATATTGGAGACGAGGTATGTCAATGCTTGGAGATATGCAAAGTACAGCCATCCTGAAGGGAACAAAACACAGTAGGGAAACTATGTCACACCCTGAAGTTCTCCTTCTAAGCCTAAAATTGAATTTATAAATCACCCTAAGAAAATGCCGGTGCAAATCAAGAGAAAACCTTAATAAATTAATGCAAATAATAATCGGAATTGGCATGTGGAATTTTTCTTGAGTTCTACATGTTGAAATACGCTAACAAGATTTTTAGTGGAATTTTCAGAGCTCTCGAAATAATTTTAACCAATTAAAATTGAGCACTTGCAATTTTAATCCCAGGAAAAATCCTTTTTCCTTCTTTTTCCTTTTTCTTTCTTTTCTTTTCTCTTTTTCCTTTGAATGGGCCGCCGGCCCATTCCTCCTTTTTCTCCCCCTCCTCCCGCTAGGCCGGCCGAAGGCCAAGGCCCAGCTAGGCCGCGCGGGCCGGCCGCCCGCCTCCTCTCACCCGGGTCGCCGACAGGTGGGGCCCACCTGTCGGACCCGTCTCCCACCTCGCGCCGCGCCCGCAACCGCCGCCGCGCCCATGCCTCCGCCTCCTCCGGGCCATGTCGGCCACGCCCGCGCATGCGCCGCACCTCCCGCGCCCACTCCCCTCTCTCTCCCGCCCGCGCCCGCACCCGAGATGGCCGGGATTCGATTTTCGAATCCCACCTCTCTCTCCTCCCCCACTCCCCGCGTTGGCCGGCGGAATCCCGCCCCTACCGGCCACGTCCGGGATTCCCCTTCCCTATTTAAGCTCCGCCGTCACCCCCTCTCTCTTTTTCCCCATTTCGCCGAACTCCCTCGTGCTCCCCATCGCTCCCGCGCCGTGCAACCACCCACCGCCGCCGCTTCCGTTACTCCGGTCGCCACTAGCCACCGCTAGGGTCGCCGCCGCACCGCGCCGTCACCGCCGTCGGGTTCGCGAGGCCAAACTCCACCTCGTCCGCCCCTTCCCCGTCAGGATTCGTCGCCGGAATTCGCATCCCCTCGCGCTCCAGTGAGTTCTACCTCTACCGCCGCCTTCGGCCATGGATGCCAGCCGCCGTGGTTCATCTCCCTCTCTCTAATCTCTCCCTCCTCCTTCCTTAGGGCACCCCGAAGCCCGTCCGCCGGTTGCCGTCGTCCTCCCGTGGCTCGCCGTCGCCGTTCGCCGTCGTCTTCCTCCGCGTCGGCCACCCTTGGTGAGGCGTCCTCTCCCCTTTACTCCGCTCCCTCTCCCTTCTAGTGCCGCGCCGCCGCTTCAAGTCATGCGCCGTCGCCTTCGGCCGCCGCCGCCGCCTCCCGTGCCGCCGGTCGCCGTCGCCGTCGACCGCGTGTCGTCGCCGCTAGCCCTGGCCGGCCGGCCGGCTTTGATGCCGAGCCGAGCCCGCCGGCCACCTCTATCGCCACCGCCCGATCTGCTCGGGGCCGATCTGGGCCGTCGGTCCCGTGGACCGGCGGTGGATCACCCGCGTGGTCCCGGTCCATGGTGGACCGGCAGCCTTGGGCCGCTGACCCGGGGGCCCCACTTGCCGGCGCCCCTCTCCCCCCTTTGAGCCGCTGACCAGTGGGCCCCGCCCGTCGGCGCCACCCCCCTGATGACGTTAGCCCTGGGAATTATTGCGCAATAAATTATTTAAGGATTTTTTTTGTTATAGTAATAAACACAGTGAATCTTCTAAAATTCATAACTAATTCATCCGAGCTCCGTTTAAGCCCATTCAAGTCTCAGTAAATCAAGAAAAATGTGTAGAATCCATTAAAAATGGTTTTGTTCTCTGTTTCAGTAGTCTTATAGCCTGTTTGCATTGTTTGCTTTGTATGTCGCTTAGATTCCGGTTCTTCCGACGCTCCGGTGTACTTCGAAATAGTCGCCGAGGTTCCTCCAGCAGCAGAGCAAGGCAAGTCATGCTTGTCACTTGAATATGTTGATCCTATATTGCAAATGCTCTATTGTTTTTCTTCAAATACTGCATCGTTTTATAATGTTATTATGGGATGTTTACCTATTGTTACAGCCATGCTATTTTGGTACCTTGCTCCTTTGTTAGCTTGGGTTATAACATGAATAGACGTTGGACTAGGAGTTGCTTAGCCATGCTTAGTTCAACTAGTACACAATGGGGAAAATCCTGTTAATGTTTAGACTGTTGGTTCTAATGGTATTGTTGGATTAGTGCCACCGCTTTGGTGTTGGTTAATTAAAATAAATCACATGGTGGGCTGTGGGTGCATGGTTTTGCTGGTCGCACCCATGGCAGTTAAGGACCGGTTCGCGGGATGCCCTGAAAGAACTTATCGTACTTACCACAAGCCAGCGTGGGCAACGGCTGGGCTTGTAGTGTAGCTTTCCTCTAGCTGACGCATCCAGGCAAGGGTGGGCGTGATGGAGCGGGGCGGGCCCTGCGACGGCCTCTGTCGCTTCCGGATTCACCTAGGCACGAGAGGGGACTGCCCGCTGCCTTGCGAGGAGTGGGGGTGAAACCTGAGGTGTGGTGTGCTTGGTTAGAGGGGGTTATGCGAAGGGTCCTGTCACGGCCTCTTTCCGGTATGTCGTGGTGGCATGTCGGCGCACGGAAACGTGTCGTGGGGCTGTGTCTTGTGGGTACAGTTGTACACCTCTGATCAGAGTAAAACTATTCGAATAGCCGTGCCCGCGGTTATGGCGGTCAACCAGATTCACCGTGATTAGTCTCACCCTAGTTTAGTCTAGTGAAATTGGATAGTATAGGTGGATGGTTGGGCCTGTCGCAACGTGGTATAGCGTTGGACAGTGGATGATTAATATTGATTAATTATTACGACTGTTTTCTTCTTTGAGCTTCTGTTTATAAATGCTCGCT